ACTTAACACTCAAAAACACTGAAAAATTTACAGATGTTACTCATCATAGATTTATAATACTATTACCATCGGTCCATCCTTCTGGAAAGAAACATTTTTCTCTTTTTGATTATGAATAAAAGTATGTTTGATGTTATACAACTCCATAAGTCTACTAGTGCTTAAATAACCTTACAGGAGAACCCAGTGCTGGATAAGTATTGATCATGCATACCCTCAGACAGACTACTTCCTTGATTAAATTTAAATAAACATATTGATCCAAAAGATGAAAACCAGAGAAGACTCAAAATAGAATTTGACAGTATTTTATTACGTACGGATGATTTTATATTGTTTTAGTTAAATAATCCTGTCTTTAAAATCCTGTCTTTACTTCGCTTTCATCCTGTACGTTTTCTCCTGTTTAATAACATCTAAATAGAGAGTTAGTAATTTGTAGACATACTAAGTATCAGTCATTTCCAGCACTTGTCCTAACAGAACACTGTTCCTCACTATTTTATCAAAATAACATATAAAAAAAGTACTAGGAAATGCATTTTTACAAGTACAAGAGCATTTCTAATCCCACATCTTCACTGCTAGATTGATTTCCATTAAATTGTATTTCAACTAGTTATGCACAACAAGTAGAAAAGTAAAATCTTAACAATATCAGAAAGTTTTGTACTTCTTGTTTGCAGTTTTCAGTGTGCTTTGTAGTAAAATTGAGCAAAAGCAAGGAGAAAATGTTAGTTCTTAACTGAAAATAACTTTGGAATGAAACTAAAGAGATAAGTGTAAGGAATGGCATGCTTGTGGACAGAGTAGGTTGGTTCAATTAACAAAAACTAATTAGAGATGCCCAAACCAGTTGGGAGTGCACAGAAAGTCAGCCCTAGAGATAAAAGATATCTGGAGCATTATTTTCACATATTGTGTGCTCTGTGGAGAAACTCAATGTATAAAGACTTGGTGCAATGGTTTCTTATAAAAAGTAATTTTTTTTTTTAATTTTACTTTAAAAAATAATTAAAAAATAAAATAGAAAATAATTTATTTCCTTCATATTAAATTCTCAATAAAATATTTTAGATTTGATCAAGAAAATACTCACTTATTTACCACGCAAACTCAAAGACTGTTTAAAGCACTGCCATTTTGGCTTTACACCCATTTTGAAAGGCTCTCAATGATCAAAGACTATTCGGGAAACATTTAGTAAATCCTATAGATTATACTATGTATTATACTTATATATATATATATATATATATAAGAAAATCAAGTCTACAGACTTCCTATATTAATAGCACTTTAATGTGCACAAAACTGCAAAGCTGTAATAAAACTGATGATTGGAATCTGAACTTGGAATTGAAATACTGACATTAGCTCCAGCTGGGCCAGTATCACATTCTGCAGTGCAGGGTTCAAGAGAAGTTGTATGCAACTTTTTATTTTTATCTCTATTTATATCTTTACTGTGATTTGGGTTACTCAGGACCCCATGTGAGCTCTTGCTACAATGTACAATTCTTTCAGACAAAACGACACAAAAAGAAAGGGGCAGACAAAGAAAGCCAGGGTATGTGTCTAACCTTAGTGTGGATTAAATCCTTCATAGGTAAAATTAAGTCACTTCTGATAACTGTTCTACAAATTAGAAAATTGCCCTGCAGCTTATTAGCTTTATATTTTGAAATTTTAAGATCCATTTTTAGTGGCATATACAGCTTCAAATGTACAGAAGTATGTACATAAATAAGAAAACTCAAAAACTGGTCTTACTTCAAATAGCTTATCTGATCTACATTAATCACCACAATGTTTTTGTGAATGATCACAAATTTTCAATGCACCTAACACAATTTACTGACAGTAAACTGTAAAAATATTGGGCCCTGCTAAAAAAATACCACTACATTCCCAATCAACTCCAATTAAAATTCTTAAGGACTGGAAACCAACTATTCAGAAAACTAGCAGTAACTGGAAAGAAACAAACATTTTTTCCTTCAACAGTAAAGACAACATGGAGTTAAAATGTAGACACAGTGCTACTGAAGCTCTATTTCAAAAAACAGACACATATTAAACCCACAAAGAGATGTACAGAGGTGGACCCTCATAATATTACAAAACCCAAATGCCTAGGCTCCATCTCCATATACCTATTTATAATGTCACTACAGTGTGTTAAGTGCAATACTAAAGATCTAGGTACCCATAATTAAATTGTGCAAACAATATTTGACTGCAAGTTTGTAAAACTGGTGATTAATATGCTAAATGTCAAGGGTACCTTGAACAATGTAGATCCACAGAGAAACACTTCTTGTAAATTTGTATTTTCAGTGTACTGTTCTCCAAGGAGGGACAGTATCCACAACTTTCAGTATAACATATTATATAATATATATACACACACACACTTTTTTAAATAACGACTTTCTCAAAAGCACCCTAATGTCAAAAGCAAGGAAATCTCATTCTTTATGAACAGCATGGGAATTACTTAAAACAAAGTTGTGCACATTACTCTGTAAGAAAGGAAACTGGAAGGGAAGAAAAGGATCCGTAATAAAAAGAGCAAATAAGTACATGAAATTCCCCAAATACAAAAGGTTAGTGGTATTGCAATGTTATCCTTCAGAAGATGGAATTTCACTCCAAGTGGAGCCAGAAGGGAGAAAGTATGTGACAGGTAAAATGCAAACTGCATATCAGGAAGGCAAAAAAGGAAATTAGAAGACCAGATAGCAAATTATACAAATCAAATTCCAATCAAATCTATTAGCATATCAGAAGTAGGAAACTCTCAAGGGAATCACTGATCTTGCTGGAACTAGTATTGAATAGTCCACACAGAAAAAGTATGGGCATTCCAGACAATCCAAATTATTTCTTTTCATCAGTCTTTACCACAGAAGATGTTGGAAAAACGTATACCCAACTTTTCTGATAGAGGGACAAACGCTCCTTCAAACAGAAAAATCAAGAAGCAGAGAGCAAACACAATAAATTGAAAGCAATAAATGATGAGGGATGAGCTCCAGCCCTACTTACATCGACAGGTGTTTTACCGTTGATTTTAGCACCAGCAGCCTGTTACTTCAGAACCAAATAGCAACAGACCAACGGTTCAGAAACACAAAAAGGCTGAGCTAGGCATCATAGAGATCTATTCAGTGTGCAGCAGTGGTCAAAAGGAGCAAGGGAAATAGCAAGATATAGAAAGAATGAGACAGGGACAATGGCAAAGATGACATTTTTAATCAATATCCAACCTTTTCTGGAGTAACTATTCAGCTTAGAGTTCCTGTTCTAAACCAATGACAGTAGCACTCAGCAACAGTTGGCAAAAACAGTTATGGAAGACAATTTAAAAAGTTTGAAAGAACCAGGAAGGTAACTTAGCAAAGAGAGAAGAGGTAATCCTGTACAGCTGAATACTTTTTTTTAAGTATCCTCACACTACTACAGCAAAGGTCAAGTCAGACCAATAGAAAGATGCCAAATCAAGAAGTAAAGGACTTAAGTATTTTACTGCATAGATCACAAAACTGTGTAATTAATTCACAAGGGCATCTCCTTACAGGAAGAGAAGTTAATGACTACCTGCATGGTTCAATTCATAATAGCATGGAATATTCTTTCTTTCCTTTTTATTAATTGTTTTTTTTTGCCCCCTCAGGTATATGTGATTGAATGTGGTGTGGCACAAAACTCATGTGGGTTTGCTCAGTACTGATACATCTGTGATGACCTTGCTATTGGGATACAGAAAAAAAATAAAGCATATGCTTTCTTAAAGACTCAAGGACTTCCTTCTCCTTTTTCAAAGGCTAACACATGAAGTGCCCTAGGTAATTCCTATTCTTCTAGATGCAAAATATAAGATGTTAGAGTTTTTCTTTCTTCCTCATATCCATATAAAGAAATTAGTGACATGGCAAGACACACAGATCTTCAAAGCAACTTATTTAACAGTAACCACTTCCCTTCTCCCTCCTGCCCTGATGCATGAAACTTGAGGTTCAAGGGGAGAAAGGGGCAGTAAGATGAGGGATGGAATATGGCTGAAGCAAGGAGAGCAATGACAACTAGTAGGAAGGGATGCTTCAAGCGTATACTCAAACTGCAGTGTGCTGTCTGTTCTGTGCTAGATCCTACATGTGCAATGCAGGTGCTCAGTGGCTCAGAAATCTGCCAGCTGACAGCACTGGCTGTGTTGGGTTCCAATCTAGAACTAAGACAGGAGCACTAAACTATCAATGGATGAAATTTGTGACTTTTAAATTACAAGATAAGGATATCCAAGGAGTCTCTTGCATAATTCATAACACTTCAGAACTCCATATATAACTCATGTAGAAGGAAAGCCTAACATTTCTGCTCTGTTGAGCACAGACCCACACACAAGTTTGGTATAGGCTGCATGAAAAACTCTCTGGAAAATATAGCGTTGCAGGTATGCTCTTGACAATACTCATTCATGCAGTTATTTAAGTAATTTTAATTTAGGATCATTCAATGAATACTCATATGAAAATTTATACTCCTGTTTGTCAAAGATACAGAGCTCGTTAAAAATTACAAAATAAGTTAGTTGTTTGTTGTTTTTTTTTTTTTTTTTTTTCAAACAAACACTAACAAATATTCTTTTCCAATGTTTTCCTAGATCAGACTTAGTTCAAGTTTATTATACAATTCATGGGCTTGCTGTGGAACAGTTTGTCTCTCTGCTATTGAAAATGAACTACTGATTCTACAGAGCTCCCACACTGCCTGAGAGACTCCAAAAGCAGAAAAACGATATTCTCCTATCTCAACAACATTTTACAATTATCGATTTAACATTGATAAACTATCAATGTTAAAATTGCCTGTAATCCTAGTACAAGTGTAACATAGATAACAAGTGTAACCAAGATAACATAAGAATGAATGTTATCAATAAATACACATATCACGTGAAATTCACAGCTTTAAATAGGGTCAAAACTTTGACTTACTGTGGCTGTGCCGGAGACAGTTTGTGCATTTGTGTCAGCTGCACTCTGTTCAGAGTGTGTCTGAGCAGGAGGGTACATGTTTAACGTGTGCTCTGGAACAGTGGTTTGGCCTGTGTAGTCTGGAGCTGGATGAGGATGTGGGGCTGTGTATTCTGCAGGGATACCATTCTGAGGAGGAGCAAACTGGGCTGAGGCGTAAGGCTGTGCCATTGTGTCAGGAGGTGCTGTAGCTTCCTGATTACCCTGTGAAGATCAAAGGGGAAAGAAAAGGAAGAAATGTGGAGTGAGATAAAATAACTTAGAAAGTAATGAGAGTATTCTGCTACAATTGCTGGCCTGAAAAGGGTGCAATGTTTGTTTCTTGAGGAAAGTATTTCCTATCTGAGTTAAATCCATTTTCCTAACCTTACTAAATCTTACTACAATTAGAATCTGTACCTGTAGACTGTTCTTTAACTGTAAAAAGTCTGTGAAAGCTTACCTCAACTAATGCCTCCAGTCAGACAAGGAAAAGGGACAAAGCTTAGTTAATTCCAAATGTTTCCAAGTGCAACTACTAATACAAAGCTCTGGTAAGGCTAGCTCATGGTCTGGGAACCCGTTCTGACTTACCCTCCACAGAACTTCTTTGCGACCTGCACACAGAGGGGAATTTGGGTGTATTCTGTTAACACACCTGAAAATATTTATATGAAATAATGCTTTATGTGGTATTCAAAACTACTTTGAGATACACTGTATTGAACAACTGTATGCCACAAATGTTTAAATTTATGAGATTCACAATATTAAATATTTGAATATTAAAAAAAAATACATCAAAATAAGATCTACTAACACAAAATTTTTCTCTTATGTTATGGTCTTTTAATAGAAATGGATATGGAGAGCTTTAAAGATTATATAAATTTGAAGACAATAGCATTTCATTTCCGTATTAAAATACACCTGTACCATTAAAAACAGATATCTCTACAGATAGATCCATCCTTATGTTTGATGTAGAACTAGGAAGTCAATCATGCTAACCTGTCAGTTAGAGACCTCTGACTAAATGCTCTGCTCATACCAAATACTAATGATACCGGGGAGGAAATGTACAGAGCAATCTTTTGGAACCTATTTAAATGATGTCCAAAGTATGATGTTACAGCATTAGAGGCCATTAAGACAGGGACTATGGACTCCAAAACTTAGATGGCTAGCTGGTTTACAAGAGAAAATTATCTTTTTAACAAGTAATATAAAAATGAATATTTGAGTAATTTTACTTATTTATAATGCTTTGCCATTTTTCCACAACGAATACAAGCATATGCACAGGGGTACCATAAGGATTTAGGTTGTTTCTATTCATCTGTCCTTGATTTCCTAATTTCAAAATAGACCTGATGAATAGAAGTCATTCTTTTGCACTTCATACCTAATGATAGTTCCAGCCAACTTCAGCTAACTCAGACATTGGTGATCTAACCTGAACTCGGCCTAAGCTAAATTAAAAAATTTACCATATCACAGCACAGGAAAAAAACATTGGTATACGGCAGGCCTAGAAGGGAAAATTACATTTTGCTTTGTAAAAGGCATTACCTTTGTCCTAGAAAATGAAGATTTAGCAATAGCAAACGAAACCTCCCCAATCCCACCTTTGCTACTGTTTTACTGTATGGCCTTGAGCAAGTAGTTTACATTGCTACATTCAACAATCTTTAAAATGAAAGCAGTGGCATTTAGATACTTCACTTGTTTAAGTCACTAAATTTTATTGGCATATATATACAATATTTCCAAGCTTTATATTACACTGAAACTTGCCATTAAAAAAATAAAAAAAAATAAGGAACATTCAAACCACTTGTATATGTACACATATACCTTCTTATATTAAAATGGCAAGGCCCCTTTTTCATTTCTTTTATTTTATACTTTAACTTAAAAAAAAAGAAGATAAAAAACAATAATGAATCGATTCTCCTGTAGATACTATAGACATTTAATAATGTTAAATAAGTATTTTGCAGATGCAAGGGAGCTTAGACTTTCTTTTAAATGAATTATTTCTGGACAGCCTTCAGCAAGTGGCAAGAATGAACAACAGCAAATTGAATTCTGCCTATGGAAGCATTTTCACCTTGCTGGATTTGAAACACAGTAGCTGGTTACTGCTCATCTTTAGGGCTCTGCCTTCATGTTAGATGCTAAACATAGCATTAGAGTCAGCAGCTGTTAAAAAAAGAACATTAATAGTAACAAAGGGATCAAAAGCTAATGTCCAGGTGCATTTGATCTAAAGGTTTTTGTACTACTCTGAGTCCTAAAACAGATGTTGTGAGACCCTCACTGTTTCTCATTAACATTGACAGCAGTTCCATGAAACCCTAATTAATATTCAAAGCATTTACACTTAGTGCTAATTACAGCTAATATTTAATTAAGAGGATTGAGCTTTTATGTGATTTCTTACCAGCAACTCCAAATAATTCATTATTTAGATTTATCATGAAATGGCAAACTGCACTGGAAATTACCTTCATATTGCAGAAGCTCTTCTACCTCATTCACTGGACTTGCTAAACTGAGGTTTGGATTGCTTATTAATCAGGCCTTGGTTACAAATAAATAAGCAGTGAAGGGTTTTATTATTTTATATATATATATGTATATATGTAACTTCAACATGTTCAGGGATTTACAGCTTTATTATAATAAATAAACTTAGAGTAGAAAACTGGCAAGCAAGGTTATCATTCCAGTCATTGTGTGTTCATTAAATTGTTTTGGGGAAAAAAATAGAAAACAAACAAACAAAAAACTAAACATGCTATTCTACTGCTAGTAAGTTTAAAATGATAATGACAATGAATCTGAGTTGTTATTGTCATTAATAGGCAGATGCCTATTATAGCCTTTAAAATCATTGTGAATTTTTGAATCACAATGAATTCAGTAGACAATATTACAAGGTAGTATAAAAGCATACAAGTATAAATACATTCTTTACTATTTACATAGGTATCATGCTAATAGCTCATTGTTTTGAATATAAATTTATGCTAAGAACAATGTAGTGCAAACTAACAAATATATATATACATGTAGTTAACAAAAACTCAAGGCTACACAAAACTCATATATATTTGAGTAGATTTTAATGAATAAGAATTCTTTAGTCACTTAAAATGAATAAAGGAAATAGTAGGTTTAATTAATTGATCTGAGAATATACAATGGCCATGAAAGCAACAGGAAATATTGATCCTAAATTACCCATGGATTCAGGTATTAAAGCAATCTCGAAACTGTGGATGATGGTACACAGATGTTGCTTAAAACAACCTAGGCATGAGAGGCTAAACAGAAGTTGTCATTTCAGACTCAGATCCAAGTATCTTTATGTTTAAATGACCCCTTAATGCTCGCTTTATGCATGGTTTTTAATAAAGTAGTTGTTGGCAACAGAAAGAAGAACAAAGGATGGCAGACAGTCAGGCTCTGTTAAATGTTCTGGCCTGAGATTTAATGAAAACCACATTTCAACTGCAAAGTATGCTTTACGTGGCAGTGTATAAAATAAGCTTTTATTGCTTTCCAGTTAAATGTTGAACCCTAAAGAACAAAAAAACGAAAGTGTTCTGATGATGAAGGTAACTGAAGTCGCTCCTATTCCATACGTTTACATTACTCCACTTGAAGCAAAGCTTAGAATATAAAATGCTCCTAGTATCACAGATCTCAACATGCCTTTTCAGCATCTTCTGCTCTGAAAGGATTTCATAATTAAGAAATGTGTGAAAAGTGTCAAAACATAATAAAGCAAGCTTGTTATGTTTGTACACAAAAGACAGAGTAGAGAAAATATTACTTATGCAGTGTTCTTTTTAAAAACACATCTGCAGCATACAAATGTATTTATTCAATGAAAACCTTTCTGCTTGCCTGCATTTTAAAGCCTAACTAACGGTTTATTGTTTGTTTTACTCTATTTTCTGTTTGGTGCATCTTGTTTTTTTGGAAAGAGATAATTCACATTTAGAGAAAACCTCTCATACAGTAGTTAAATGAGCCAAACTGCATCATATCCTCAGGGCATGGAAACAAAGAAGAAAAATGCAACATTGCTCTGTAAGCCTGCTGATTATAAGAACAGTTCTGTTAGATATATCAAGCACAGCAGAGATACATAATCACTGATGTAGTTTGCCTTCCATCAGAATGGCTAAGCAACAAAACGTATTAGAAGTCTTGCATGCAATGGTGCAGCTGGTTATAAGAAACACCTTGTTTTGACTAAAACCAAGAGTTTCAAGTGAAAATAAAAGTGAAAATACCTGCTGTACCATCCTGCTCCTTTTATCCTCCATAAACTTAGCAGCTGCTCTAGTCCCAGGCCATACAGCATCTGCCCAAAGCAAGCATCAATTATGGATGAGGGCGTGTGAGCAATGTAATGTGTGTATGAGTGTGGATGATAGGGGTGTTGAAGGAGGGGGAGCTAATGCAACGCTTACTGACCTCCCTCTCAACATCTGACTGCTCCCAAAACCTAATCCAGATGGGACTCTTTCAGTTTGCAGGGCCTCGCCCCATCAATCACAGCAGGCCACTCCTCTGTCTCCTGCTACTAGTTATAGAGTGCACCACTGAGCAGATGATTGCACACAGAAGAAGAAACAACGCAGCTTGACTACATTAATAGCTGTTTAAAAAACATTAGAAATGCTACTATGTCTGTTGCCAGAAGCAGAACATTTTTGTTTCAAAATTAAGACAGCTGTATTCAAACTTACTAAAAGTCCTAAACTTATAGTAATTTGGCTTTTTGATTGTTACAACACGCATATCTCTGTGTGATTAATTTTTCATACATGTGGTAGAGTTAATATCAATAAGATTTCTATTTTAAAATTGCTGAACTCCATAAGTAAACCATCAATACTGAAGCAGCCTGTTTTAGATTAACTGTACTTTATCCTTCGATGCAAATGAAATATTGTTTCCTTTTTTGTTTCATTTCATGACATCCCTATTGCTTACCAGGGAAAATATTTCAAAAATGCTTCCAAGGTTTAATTTTGAGAAGCACTTTAAGCAAGTTAATACTTAACTGTTAAAGGAGCTTTCCTAGTTGCTCTGGAGGAGGTTTAAAATGATTAAACCTCCAATCAAATCACATAATGAAGAAAAAAAGAAAAGAAAAAAAGATATAGACGGGAAGATACAGATGGCCCCCAAAGAATACACTT